CCAGCCATTTCTCAGGTTTTCCTGCTTGCTTGCCTACCTTTCTGAGGGACAGCAAATCATTTTCTCTGAAACATGCTCTGGTTGCCCTTCTTTTGGACACCACAGCACTCCCTGGGTATGTCTACACTACCCTCCTAGTTCGAACTAGGAGGGTAGTGTAGACATACCCAGGGAGTGCTGTGGTGTCCAAAAGAAGGGCAACCAGAGCACGCAGAGGAAATGCTTTGCTGTCCCTCGGAGAGATAGGCAAACAAGCAGCAGAAGCTGAGAAATGGCTGTCTGGGAGGGTCCCTTTAAGCACGAGTCTCAGACAACAGCTCCAGGAACCAACTGCTGACCTAATGCCCTGCCTGAATTGGTTCCAGTGGCCTTAAATGTGAGATAGTGTCCAATCCATGTGACACTATCTTTCGAAATAGCACATCGCATGTTGTTGCGCTTTTTGTGTATAGATGTGCTATTTTGAAATAAGCTTTTCCAAAGGATCTCTTCTGGAATAGCTTATTCTGAAAGAAGCTTGCAGTGTAGATGTACTCTAAGGTGCTGCAGGACCATTTGTTGGTCCTTAGTTATCCCCACAACCAAAAGGGCAAGAAGCTACTCCCCTAGCTCCTTTCCCCAACCCTTGATGAGAGCTTAGATTCTGCAGAAGCTGATCATTTTGCCAGAAGAGCTTCTCTAAGTGCATGGAGTTTCCAAGATCTGTGATCCAAATCCTTTCTCTCCCTTCCATATATACCTCTCCTGGGGCCAGCATATGGAGAAATAGCATGAGCTGTACTTTAGGTATTTCATCTATAAGCCCTATGGTAGTACAAAAAATGTCATACCTCACTGAGCTGTGGCCATATTCCTGTTAAATATGCTTGGAAATCCAGTGGATGCAAAGGATGCAACTGTTTCATCTCTTGTTTGAGGTAACTTCTACTACCTAGGTAATATATAGTAAAGAACTCATGAGTCAGGCTGTTAGGGGAGAGAGTAATAATGCATTTTCATATCTGTGGCAGGAGTTAGCACTCCATTCTGACTGACTCAGGCTTCAGGACACAGCAAGGAAAATAAACGGAGGGCCTGGGCAGAGGCTTTTGGCTTAGTCATACTGCACTTCGGAATCATTCAATTTGCATATGCACTAAAGCCCTGATGCACAAAAGTGTTTAGTCTCTTCACTTCCACTGAAATCAACAGAAATTAAGAACTTAAATACCTTTGTGGATCTGGCAAACCAGCTAGGCAACTTGATAGAACTGATTGAAAATGGGAGGAAAAGGAAAACTTCAACATGTTTTTACCCTCTGTGGAGTTGGTTAAAACCAGAAACTCTCCCCTTCCCCCCCCTTCCCATTTTTTGCCAATATCTCAAAAAAAATCACACGACTGATTTTTGGTGTGGTGTTCTAAGAGGTAAAGTAAACCACAAGCCAGTAGATTTTATGCACCCCCCTTTGTAACTGATACACAGAGGATGTGAACCAGTTACAGCACATACTCCCTTAGTGCCTCATACTTTTAGCTCTGGAAGTCCCTGATTCAGTGAATGATGGCTAAAACGGAGCCTGTCACAACAGTCCTGCTATCTTGGGAGTGCTATTGTTTAGAAAATGGAGTGATTCAAAGAGGAATAAATACTATGTGTATAGATAGCAAGAAACAACTCATCCACCCTGAATTTTACAGGGCAGTTGGGTGCAGATTGTTAAAACATAACAGATGTAATTTAGATGGTGAACTCAACCCACCAGCAGACAAACACACCAGGATGTTACACGGTGATGTGAAAATGCTGGTGTTGCACAATGATGCCAAGTTGAAATGTTTCTGATGTCCTCATGCAATTTTTCTTACTCATCCTGACTCTTCTTAAAAAGTAGCAGCCCTGCTGGGCAGTTTCAATGGTGGATATACAAGTAAAAAAAGTAATATTTTTTCCACAGTCACTTGTGTCCAGTTACATTTTATTCATGTAAGTACAAATTTTCACAAGCACAACAGGCATTCGTCAACTATTTCCATAAGGAACTCAAATCGTTAACTAAGAAAGATATGTGTTATCATAATGCTCCAAGGAAGGTATTTCTGAGGAATGGATTTCATTGACAGGAACAAGTTAAAGAATCAGGCATAGCATCTCGAAATTAAAGCCGTACAAAACTTCTGTAAGGAAACAAGGACCTGGGGCAATTCTATTATTTCAAATGAAATCTGCAAAAGGAAAGAGTAAATCAGTGGGTTTTGACCCCCAAGCACCAGCAATGTTCAAATTTTTGCCCTGTAACTTTGAATTCATTCATTTGGGTTTCGGTTCCGAGGATTCCTCCTGCAAACTTAATTTCGCTTGATCTCGGATTACTTGAGCTCTGCTGTAAGGCGAACTAAGGGGGCCGGAAAAGCGCACAAACCAAGCAGGGAAAGTGTGCATGGATTCCGCTTACAACTCAACGAAGCGCCCGGACTCTCGCCGCTAGCTCCAAGCCAAGCCGGGCTGCAAGGAAGCGTTCTGGGCGCTGTGCTCCGCACTGCACACCGACTCTGCTGCTGCTCCGGAGGGGGGCTGCAAATGCCTTGGCATGTGCGCGAGATCCCCTTGCAAGTGGCTGCTCCTCAGGCGGCTCCCGCTGCCGCGGCTCGGGTGGTTTCTGTTACTCCCCTATATGTCCCCTCCCCACGGCTCCTCCCTTCTTGCCCCCTCCCCTCTGGACTTTCCTATGAGGTCACCAGCTGCTCCCGGCTCCTCCCCCCGCACCCCCTGCATGATGCGGGCCCAGACTCCGCCTCCCTGTAGCGAGCCCGCTCCTCGCGTTCATTTCATTCCTCGTCTCATTCCGAACATTCTTAGCATCGCTCGCGCCGCACAAGCCCATTCGCGAGCCCGGCCCGCCCCGCCACCGGCCTGGGCAGTAACTAATCACTTGAAGGGATTCAATAATCCTGCAGCCAGCAGCTAGAGCCTAGATATAAATAGAGAAACTGCAGATTAAAAATACACACGGGGCTATAAATAGCAACCAAGCCCAGGGGGAGCTGGAAGAAGTTTGCAATTGAATTGCAAAGAGCTGCTGGTGGTTGCAAAGGTGGGGAGTGGAGTGGAGTGGAGGTAAGTTTCGTGTGTCTGTGTGCGAGTATGTGGTCGCTGCTGTTCGGAGGGAGCTGCTGCTATGCTCATCTCTCCCTTTGCTTTGTGTGGCTGGGAGGGGGGGGGTCTCTTTTATTTGCTTGGAGAGCTACAAAGGCAGCTCTGGCCCCCCTCTTTCTCCTCCCAGCCCCCACTTCCAGTCCCTGCAGGTGATCTGGGGAGGAGGGCGAGGAACGGGACTTAGGGAGGGAGGGGGAGAAGAAGTTGTTTCCAATGGAGTTTTTGCTGCTTTGGGGCTGTAGCCAGAGCTGCAACAGGCGGCTGCTCCTCTGCTGCTCCTCTCCTCTCTCCCTCTCCCTGCTCCTTGCTGCTGCTTTCACTTAGTTGCCTGAGTCACTGCTTTGCAGCCTGGCGCTCGCTCGCACACTCTCGCACCACACAAATCTTTGACATTTTTCACATTTTTCATGAAGAAGGAAGAAGTTAGGACCGGCCCTGGGCTTGCAAAATAAAATCCCCATAATAATCAAAACTCTCCCAGTGTCGTGCTCTGCAAAAGTGACTCGCTCTGAATCGAGGGAGCTCTGGGGTTTTGTGCCTCGAGTTTTGTTTTCCTTCCTCCCTTTTCTTTTCCTCTAAAACATGAAAGAAAGAATGTTCTTTTTCGCTGCTTCTTCTCCTTCTCCAGAGCTGGTGCTGCTGCTGCTGGTTAATTGCACATTCAAGTGGAAAATTTTCGGGAGTCAGCAGAAATATTGTATCCAAAAAAGACAAAGTCGCAGTTACAACAAAACCGAAGAGCTTGTCCCTGGAAAACTTCCTTTCGGTAGGAACCATAGGGTTATTTATTTATCCTGAACATTTTAAAGAGATCTATTCGACAGATACCCACGGTGCTGATTCAAAGGCAGCCTTTGTTCACAGAAGTAACATTTGCAAAGGAAGTACACTTTTAAGGGGGAGGGGGAAAGTTATATTACAGCCTTGTAACAAAATTAAAACAACAACAAAGAGAGCTAGAGAAAGAAAAATTTGTTTTTAATACATCAGAAAAATTCAACCTCCTCCTACCTCTGTTAATCCCATTCCTGATTTTTTCTCCTCTCCTCTCCTGAAATCTGTTTTCAGTTGCATGGAGTTACTGTATAAAAATATTTATGAAACAATGAAATACCAGCCACCCCTGTTTCTCAGGAGAGTTGTTAACTTATTAGAAACAAGTGCCTGCCTTTGATTTGGAGAAATGAAAAGTGATCTCAATAAGGTCTGGAAATTTAGGGATCAGTTGTGCTTTACATTTTCTGAATGTAAATGATTCCCAATAGTTTTTTTTAAACTTCCTTACAGAACACTATCTAACAAATGAAGGGCCAAGAAGCATGTCAGAAGTCACTGACATTTTCTCATTTAAAAGATTATACATATGATATCCAAGTTGAGATGGTACACTCGTAAAAAATAGTTATATAGTTGTATTTCTGTGTAGAAAGAATAAATACCTTTCCCCCTATATTGGTAAAGTTTGGAAGCAGGATACATATTAGTAACTTTTATGGTGATATTTGTATTAGGTATCTGAGTTGTCACAGGTAATTTTGAAACGTTTTTATTCTTTAAATGAATGTTCAGATATTATGCAGTCCATCCTTGGTACGTACATTTATGAACTTGAAAGCATCTTAAAAAAATGAAGCTAAATAACAGAGCATTATATACTATGCAACATGAACACAATGATTATTATAGCTTTGGGATTTAATCCCAAGTACAGGATTCATATAATCCTAAATTTGGAATGCCTGCCTGTAGAATATAGTGTATTACCATCTCTATAAATAGTTGGGGAATACCATTACAGGAGCATTCAACTGTGCTGGAGATCTACACATTGAAATTTAAAAATGATATAAGGAGCAGAATTAAGTTGCTTTATTTTGGGGGATGATATACATGGATTTCAAATAGTAATGTCTGAATTACAATGCATTAAACATTGGAGGTTTTATGTATCGGGACACATTTAATTTATAACTGCTTAAACTATGTTTCCTTTTTGAAAGAATTGTATTTAAACTTCCAAAATTTTTGTCAGGCATGTTTATTTTTCATTATTGTTCATTAAATGTCTATTTTCCTACTACACTGATTTTGAATGAGGTGCTAATATATTTTTAAAGCAGTAAGAGACAGTTATGTGTTTTACCTGATGCTGGTTTATATCAGCTGATCGAGTAAAGATATTTTGGGTACAAGTGATATACTTCATAGTTTTTCTTTATAATAGTACTTTCTTATTACATGCACAGTAAATATATTTTGAACTACAATTTTAAGCCGACTGTTTAGCTAAAATATTTATATTTTCACACCAACAAAAAGCAAACCACAACATCACTTTAGATGTGGAATATGGCTTGACATTATGCATACTTTATTTTTTCTCGGTGCAGAATGTGACTAAAACAGTGTGCACAAGGAGTAAAGCAGAAGGAAAAATTTGATTTCATATGAGCCTTAGTAAGGACAGCAGATACTTACTGAAGTTTAATTTAGAGTTGAAAGGAACAATAAGTGGGAACTGGGCCCTCAGTGAATTTGCAGTTCAGATTGTTTGCATTGTGGTGTATGCTTGTGCGCAACCTGTATGATACAATTTGGAACTTGTTTCTTTCTCTCTCTGCCAGGATAATGTACTGGGTTTTGATACTATTAGAGTGTTTTTTAGGCTTTGATGGTCTTTGACGGAAAAAAGTCAAACTCAATTAAATCATACGGGTAGGAAGAAAGAACCTTAGACTTCTTTTTTTCTAAATTAATGATAATAGCAAAACTGTAAAGCATCCCTCAAGACTCAGTAAAGTAAAAATAATTTATTTTAGACCCTCTAATGCTTCAGAGAAGCACAAGTATAAGAGAGACCTCTTTTACTTAATGGAAAGATGAAGGTTAAAAGAATTTCATTTTTGATAACAGAGTATAATTGTCAAATTATATGAAATCAGATTAGTTTCAGTAGAAATAACATTAAAAATGGGATTATTTCAGAAATACTGTTTTTTTTTGCAGTTTTCAGTGTATTTGTGGGGAGAGTGTTGCCTTAAAATTTGTGTCGTTTGACAATTACAATGTACCTTTTGTGATTTTACACACACACACACACACATCATTTTTTAATGCAGCCCTTTTCTTGACATAGTTATTTTATGTCTAATTTATATGAGATTTTAGACCACAGACAATATCTTTTGAAAGGTATTCCATTATTTTAGAGTTTAAAGGTTTGTACAGTCAGGCCCTCTCTCACATTAAAGTCAATGGGACAACTCATGCAAGTATCAGATGTGAAGATATTTACAGCATATACTTTATGTACATTGGCATAGTATGATATTTGCTGTCTGAATGGAAAATCAAATGGTAATGTTTTTACATATTAATCAGCAGTGCCTTAAGAGTAATATTAAATTTAAAAAAAATGACAGGAGCAGTACTTATAGCTACATTTCTAGTCACAGTTAGTCAAATCAGTCCTGTCAGCACTGTTTCCACAGCAAGTGCAGATTTTAGGCAAAGTTTGACTTTTTTTATAGTGGTGTAAGTTCACAGGAACTCTACCAACTTCATTAGATCTGTATTGGTTATGCTCATGTAACTGAAAGTATGATTTGACCTTGCAAACATAACACTGAAAGTGACAACTTTCTTTGTGAATCTAAATATACAGGATTTGGGATATAATTACCATTTTATCACTTTGCAGTAATTTGTAAGGAATTTATTATTAGTTGCCTAGAGTATGAATGGTGTATATTGCTAAGCTAATTATATTTGGCAAACTTTTAGTCCAGCAGCAGATTTGAAAAATCAACCAGCTAACTAAGGGGAAGCTGCAGAGTGCTTTTAGAGGTTTTGTTGCTATCTACACAACTACTGTACTAGTTAAATGATAACCTGTGCCACATTATTTCTTGTAAAGCCAACTGATTCTAGGCCACAAGTAATGCCACGTTTTGCAAAGTAAAAAAAAGAAAAAAAATCTGTAATTAATCACCCACTTAGGGCTTTATCCCTTATATTCGTGTTTTTGCACAAAACTTCCTTTGATTTCTGCATGTGGAACGAGAGTGGAAGATTGTTTTCTGGAATAATTTTGTTTGGATTTTATGATTCTACATTTCCAAAACATAAAAAGAACTTACTTCAGTGCACTGAGACACTAGTTCCAAATGAATCACTTAAAAATACAGACAGTACTCTGCAGATTTAATTCTTCCAACACATACAGAACTTAATTTGAAATCCTGATACCAATGAAATTAAATGAGAGTAGGGCCAGGATTTCACCTTTTGTGTAAAACAGGTTAGGCAACTTTAAAGAATATACTTTGCCAAAGATAAAAGGCCACATGTCATCTTTGTGAAGCAGAACTGTCCGTTTGTTTCAACTGGGAGCCTTTGCCACAGTGATCCATAACAATTCATTTGGCTAGATATCTTACAAGGAAGAGTCTGTATGTTTTACAGACACTGAGCACCTAATCTTGTGCTATATATATTTATTTGTTGCATGCAGTTTTGTAGACTCAAGGAAATTATGAAAATCCATTTAAAGTTTGAAATGGTCAGGAAACTTCCATAATCATTGCAGAGATGCAGATCTTCCCTCTCCTTCGTTCCAAATTATGTGAAGGTTCTTCACAGCAAGTCCATTTTATTTGGGAGCTGGTCCAATAAAAGGTCTACAATGTCTTGTTCTTTGTGTTTTAGTCTTAGTTTACTGAAGCAACATGATTATGACTTTTACATCCTATTGTACAGGTCTTAGTGACTTTCTTAGATTTCTCAGTTTTCATCAGACGTCTTAGTCTGAGGTGTACTATATATTGTAATAGAAGCACATAAATACAAAATAAAAGTTTGTTTGCTGACACATCTCTGGTTTCAAAAGGTAGAATTTGGAACCTCAGTGTATTTGAGGGGAAAACAGTGTATTTGAGGGGATCTTGTGTAAAAAGATTAAAATGTTATTGACCGAGAATCTACAACAATGACGAATACTGTTGTTTTTACAGATACATAAACTGAAAACTGCTGCTAATGATGGGAAATGTTAATTATGTGAGAACATATTGAACTTATATTCTCTGGCATGAACTTTTTAAAATGCATCAACTGTGCTGCCTTTTATGCGCACAGCTTTCTAATTATCGTAATTCTGTACAGCTCTGGCTTTTGGAAGGAGTTCAAGTGCAATTGCAACTTAACATGAAAGGAGATTATTTAAAAAAATTGAAATATTCAAGAACAACTTGCAAAGATAATCTTAAAAATACTATATGCTTAGCTAAGTATGAATCAACATACCTGTATTCATATAACTGGCTAGCAAAGTCAATAAGATTATTAGAACAGTTAGTTATTTCTGCATTTCACTATCTCATTCACACACATACAAATATAACTCAAAACACATTTCCATAATTGGATACCATAGGTTGTTCTATCCTATATTGGTCAACAGTATTTTTTATTTTCCCACGGTCCTTGAAATGATAAATGACGTAAGTGAATAACCATATTGTTAAAAAAAGACACTTTCTGAAAAAGTTCAGAGGTAACAATAACTGCAGCAGTATTAAAGAGAAAGAGAGAGAGAGAGATCCTTGAGATTCTTCTGTGTGAACCAGATGTGAATCTGTCGCTAATATTGCTGCTCCACTGTAAATCATCCTTATCTATCACTATTCACACCTTGCCTTCATGACATTTGATGGGTTGTACATTCTATTCTTTCAAATGTCTTTAAAAGCTCTTAAATGAGGGGAA